TCACAACACACACTGGCCCAGCTAACCAATCACAGCACATTTCGTATTTCAGAAGGCGGGCCTTCATTTGATGCAGGAACTATTCGAGCCGTTCATGCCAGACTGTGGAGAGAGGTGTTATAATAATGTAAAATATATAAATAATACTTTGTAAAAGAGCATAATAGGACCTCTTTAAGCAATCTGATCAGTGTCTCATGCAGCGCGTTAGATGGCACACCCTACACACGTGGGTAAGTTTGTACTGAACTGTAACTGAACAGTCGTACTGCAAAATATTTCATAATTCCTAATTATTATGAACAAAAATATAATAATGTAAATTTCAAGTATTATTAAAGACAAGTAAACACTCAGTAATTTAAAAAGTACAAATAAACAAGTTAGCAATCACACAAATAGATTCAATTGAACAAATTAATTACGATTGAAATAAACAGTGTTTTAAGATTGTCAGGTATTCAGATACAGAAACTGTAATAAACATACAATACAAATATAGTTACAGAAGTTATTCAGGCAAGAACAGAGAGTCAAGTTTCTGTCTTTTGTTTGATTATCGTTATTATAGAGATGGCAGCAGGAATATTTGGCTGCTGTCACTTTAGGAGTTGCACAGATCCAATATACTGTTACACATGCGTTTTCTTTCTCAACTGTTTACGTTCATTTAAAGGGGTCATATGATGCGATTTCTATTTTTCCTTTTCTTTAGTGTGTTATATAGCTGTTTGTGCATGTATAAGATCTGCAGAGTTACAAAGCTCAAAGTCTCCCACAAAAGGATTTATTCTATCTAAAAGAGAAGGCTGATCCAGACCGGGCTAAAACGCCTCATTCAAACACGCCCCCACCTAGGGATGCAGCGATTAACTGGTTTCGCAATTAACCGCGCTTTAAAACGTCACAGTTAATTAATCGTAAAGGTTCTGCTAAACCGAGTGTTTATCAGCTACTGTAAGTATGTTTTCTTAATAGTTTTTGCTATTGACTGTTCAAATGCGGAGTTTTGCGCCGTTTAGAGTATCGCGTCGTGTGTGTGTGTGTGTGTGTGTGTGTTTGTGCGTGAGAGAAAGACAGGGTCACAGTGGAGTCAGCTTTCTTAATCGCGGCTTGCTGATATTTAACCGGGACATTTAACTGTTGACATTTTTTTGTGTGTATTTGTCCTTTCAAATGCAAAAAGACATGTAAGAGGACTCAGTATCATGCACTATACAGTATGTGTGCAGCAGAGAAAACCGTGAGTCTTCTTGCACTTGAATGGTTTAAAGTCATATTAAAGGATTGATAAGCAGAATCGAAATCATGGTTTATCTGTCAGGTAAATGCACATAAAAATGCATGCTCTCTTATTGCAATGTTGTTAATGTTGAGGTTATTTCAGCTTTGTACTAAGTTTGCTTCATTCATTTAGTTTGACTGCACTGACTAAGAGGGTGAGCTTAACCATTCAAATGAATGGTGTGCATGCATTTTAGACACTCAACACTGCTGAGTGCTCTGGTAATATCAATGGTATGACCCATTTCAGGAGCTGTCAAAATTACAATATAAAATCAGAGCATAGATTTCTAACATTGCGCAGCACTGACCTCATACGTCATCCGCCCGGAGCTGCTTCCGTGTACAACAGTGAGCGCAAGCTAGATTAAAGTGATTATTACAAAATCGCATCGATTCACTACAGGAGGTCTTTGTTCACCACCCGAAGCCGTGCGAGACACTTTTTTTTATGGATGGGCACTTTTTATTTAACTTCTTTTGGACTGATGCACTGCAACACCCGCTGAGTGTCATTAAACAGCTTGAAAGATCAAAGACCATTTTTAATATAACTCCGACTGGATTCATCTGAAAGAAGAAAGTCATATACACCTAGGATGACTTGAGGGTGAGTAATTTATGGGCTAATTTTCATTTTTGGGTGAACTAACCCTTTAACATTACTGTTTCAAAACAGCAACACTAGTGATTGACTGTCAAAGCAAAGCACGGTTTGAACGCCCCGCCCCCAGATCAACTGGAAGTTTTGATTGGTTTTGACCCCTGAGTCAGACCAGTCTGTTATTGCCTGCAGCGCAGGGCTCCACCTAAAAGTTTGAAAAGTGCCTGCCAAACGCCAGCTCGCCTTGTTTCTCTGTCAGCACCTTTCTGTACTTTTGGTGAAAAATCAATGTAGTGAAGTTGAATACTTTATTTTTATTCAACTCAAGTAAAAGTACAACATTTCAATAAATGAAATAATTTCAACCTGTACTATTTAATGTGTTATATTTCACTCATTCAATACATGACACCGCAGTTTCCATCGAGTTTGTCCTGAATTTGTAAGGGAAAGAACAATTCTTACCGATCCTCTTGCGAAATGGTCAACAATGGATTTGTCCAGTAGAGTTCGGTCACTGCATCTCTCCGTGCCCACCAGCGTCAGGTATATGTCATTAATTGTCTCAGCAAACTCCTGTTTGCCAGTGCTGACAGACACCGTGTACGTGAACATCCTGCTCATATGAGAGGACAAGTATAACAGACTCTCTTGTTTCACTGCTGTTTTGGGGGTGTGGTCTATCAATCTAACTTGTGATGATAACTGTGTTCTTTAAAG